GTCCCAGCAATTACCTAACATGCGGCAATCGCCATTTTGTGGGAACGTTTTGGGATACCATCTCTCACGTCTCAGCAATCACTTAACATGCGGCCATCGCCCTTTGCGTACATGTAGGTATAATTGTTGACCTGTTTGGCATTTGGCATGGTGCAAGGCGCTATTGACCAAACATTGCCACAGAAACGGATCAATCTGTACTTATCTACGAGCACTTACATGTACATGTACATGTAGAATGTGAACTATTATCATTTTACTGCATATGGCACCATCCATATGTACATGTAATTGTGAAAGCAAAATGCAATTGCAAACGTGAATGGCCAAACAGGTGCGTGATATTTAATACTGGCTTCCAAGCCAACATAATAAAATATTAGTACGCTTCATATGAATCATATCCTCACACGTTTTGAATAGACCGCTCCAAACCGAACCTAGTACCTGTTGTTCACACGGCAGCAGCAATGGAAGTGAGCATTATCCTGCGTAGAGTGTTTGGTGTCCCGTACCGTCGAAAACAGTGTGATCATACACTGGTCGTGAGGGGATATCTAGTATTGTGTGATCATATACTGGTCGTGAGGGGATATCTAGTATTGTGTGTCTCTTGCAGACGAACAGTATCATCACGTTCCTCTGCAGTTCAAACAATAGCTAACGGCATTGTTCTGTTTGCGAAGTGGATGCTGTCATGCATCGGGCCCTCAGTAAACCAGCGCCAGACAAAGGAAAATGCAAGTCCTATCTTCCGTCGCCCCCCCCCCCCCCTCCGCCAAGCGCGCGTGCAGCAATGGTCTACAGCCGCCATCTTCGCCTATCGTTCTGTGCATTGTTGCCAACACAGGAATACTGGTCTTACAGGTTGCTCCGTGCACCTCGAATGACTCAGAGCAGTGCACAGGTGTGGTAGTGTCATACCTTATGATTTGAGTAAGCAAATCCTCTCTTTCCCTTTCATTGTGTGCCTTGCGATCATCGTTTCACATAAATAAAAAAATTACTCATACAATCATGTACTCGTCGACATTTAGGACATGCTTACACAGCAATTAGTCGTACTTGTTGCTACATTAAAACCGCTCATACAGTTCAATAAAATATTACTTTTTTCTCTTTTGCGTTTACGTTATACCAGGCGTGGGCTGTACATACATGTAGGTGCCAACATTTTTCTTTGTTTCAAAAAAATATTTCAAATTTGAAAAAAAATCGCGAAGAGCTAGCTACAAAAAAATACAGTTAATAATACCATAATACCATGTTATATGTATTCTGCCCTGACACGCCACGTGTCGTCTGTGCACGTACATATACCATGACGTCTCCAGGTATTCCCCACACAGACAAAGATGTTGCCAGGCCCCAGGGGATCCTGTTATACATCAGCGCACTACTTGCGGCTTTCCTTGATCCTTCACGGCTGACCAGGTATACTTGACACTATGCAAATAGCCAGATACCTTGGGGAGGTGGTAAAGTAATACAATAGGATAAAGTCCTCATTTACACTGTTACGGAAAGCATTACAGAGGATAATGAAAGGATAGAACATGAGAAGGCTGCAGTGGGAGACGGTGTGAGGGTGATGCAGTGAGAGATAGCACGGGAGAGGGGAGCGAACTGTCACATGCGGACCCTAATCAATCAGAAATCCACCATTATCTCTTTTACGGGCAAAGCAAAGCACAATCATCACCATGTACATGTATGAGTACAGTGGATACCCCACACCAGCCATTATCTCTTTCTTCCAAGGCCACGTTCTTGGACAACAGACGAACAGTGAGAACAACAAGAAGATTGGGTTGAGCCCAGTGCGACATGTAGGCTTTCAAGTTTTGATTATGTGTGTTACTGGGGACTGGAACACTGAGCTTCCCTAGGCAGTTGCAAGACCACGACGCTACGTAGAATATCCTACTGCTTTGCTTGTTAGGTCTTGTCTTCCAGGAGGCTCCGAGCTACCTGTCTTTCGCATCCACAACTTCACAAGCTCTGATTGACGAAGATGGACGCGAAACTGGGACCTTATTTAGTGCACATCCATTCGTTCCTAATTTGTTATCCATTAAATCTTAACATAACGGTACCGTCCCCAGCGGACAGGAGACTGGATACGAAGTGGTTGGAACTGCCAAGTGTCAACATGGCGCATACCTATGGAGCCAATGTCCAGTGATTTGTTTACTCCCACGTACAAAAATCAGTGGACAGGAAAGACCCATTTCACCTCTACTCCTGGGTTCCTGGCGAGCCCGGACGGAAGATTATCACCCGAGACGACGCCCTTTGATAGAGCATCAAGAATTCAAGATTGGCTTCCTTCGAAACGTGCAGAATGCTTATCTCATCGCAGCGTACAGCACTGCCTTACTCTGATACAGCAAAGCTGTGGACGCAGCATACTGCTGCTACACTTCAACGCGGGAATGCGTATAATAATAATAATAAGTAGTGGAAATTGAAATCCGACCCCTGGTTTTCGTGCAGTACCAATTCTACAGCTCCAGGGGTCGGATTGCAGTTGCCAGCACTTTAGAAAAGAAAATTGTGGTGATGGGACATGAAGTCAGAACACGTACCAAGCCGCGGTGCCCTCAACGACAAAGCCCAGCAGACACAGACGAACTGTCCGAAGCACTTGAACATCCCACGAATCAGTCGCTGAGGGGTTTTGGTGTTCACGCACGAAAAGGGCCTGTGACATGAAAAGCCCACCGTACAAAAGCATGGCTATCATGTTGACTGTATGGAGAGGGCAATCTAAATCCATACGGCGTAAACTAGCATGCACAGTGTTGAAGGATATAGATTCTCGAGCTGCACCTCTTCTGGTACACTGTAGTGTCATTTGGATAGTCAAGTTCTTTCCTTCCTGAAGATGTGCCTTGCCCGAAAATTCGAATCATTGTCTCTTTTTCTTTTAGTGATTGGTGTAGACTAGAGACAGCCTGGAGAGTGTAGTGAAGAGGTATGGATAAGCTCTTTCCTAAATAGTGGTTGCGACTTCGGCGATGATTTCTTTAGGAATTGGTTTGCTCCCACACTGGAGTTCGCGCTATTCCGCCGACTTGTCCACTTGCCAAGTCGGCAGAATAGCGCGAACTCCAGTGTGGGAGCAAACCCATTCCTAAGCTCTTTCCTGTTACATAAATCCATAACAGTCGAGGCATATCAGTTTCACTCCTCACTGCCCAGTGACTAAATAGGAGACTTGCTGTTGGCTTTCACTGTTGCGCGTATAGTGTAGTACACCATCTCAGGACTCAGTGAAAACGGTGGCCAATGTTAAGGCAGTGGGTGATAACCAACCACGGCGATCAAGATAAGTAGGGCCGGTTAGGAAGGAACACGAACATGCAGCAAAAGTAACACCAACAGTTACTCTGCGAAGAAAGAGAATGTCGATATCCAGTCACGGGCAACAGCGACGCAAAGGACATGTGGATAATTAGCTATGTCCTTCCTTTGTGGATTCTTGTTCTCCTCTCCGCGTGCCTGGTATAATCTCCGCAGTTCTCCATTGTTTGTGCCATCTGTGATGCAGTATTAGACCCCTGCGTGGCACACCTAGTTGTTAATAACTTTAAAGTTGTCAAGTTCGACTGTGAAAAAGGAGAAGGACAAAATGTTACGAGTTATGACTAACTGTCCACCAACGTAAGCAGATCTTATACAGTCAGCGAGTGCGACAAAATGGCACAAAACTGACAAGGAGTACTGAGACATTCGGCGACCTGGTTACGATCTGAGATCTGGTTACGTTGGTGGACAGTTAGTCATAACTCGTAACATTTTGTCCTTCTCCTTTTTCACCATGATTTAATTGGCTCACCATCCGAGTTGAAGTTCGACTGTATTTGCCATTTGCCGGACCACGCAAGGTCTAATAGTGCTTCACGCACAGTCAGGGGATAGTAATCCGAACATGCATGGTGTGCTGTTTTGACCAAATCAACTCCTGTTGAGCTGTGATTTGGTTTGTGTGGGTGCATATGGTGGAGCTGCATGATCTCAGAAGACTGGATACATGCGGAGAATATAGCATGCCTGTGGAGCGGAGAACAACGATACACAAAGGAATGCTCAACGGTGAAAGTCATTGCCGAGGGCACTTGATATGTACATGGACTTCTAGTTGAAGATCTGAGATGCAAAAACCCGATAAAAGCCAAATTTGAGAAATGTGATCCAAGTCATTCATTCCCTTTCAATAGATCTCTGGAAGGCAGAGGCAATACACCTGGCAAGGGTGGGTGTCCTAGGAAACACAAATCGTACACAAAATAATTATTATGGGGTTGTGAAATTGGGAATAGGAGGATTTGAGGAAGAGAGTGCAGCGCTCGTGGAATAACTACATAACAAAATAAAAGGGGGGGGGGGTTGCCAGCAGACAACCGTTCTATTTAGTTGCTATTCACTTTTGGCGCATGCGCTGGATGAAAATTCTTTTATTAGTGTTGTGGAAAAAGTATTGATGTTTCGGGCCAGGCACCCAACGTCAGAACAAATGTGGACATGCGCTGTGGAACACTCTGCCAGCCAGTGTCTGTTCCTGGAAAGCCGTGGCCGATTTCGCAGCAGCCGTGTACCCGTACACTCTCAGGCCATAAACGTTTTTAAAAGAAGAGAAACAGTGACATGCACACCCCCACACCCCCGCACACACACACGGACAGTATGTATAGGCATATAACGAACGGTCTTTTCCTGTTAGCTCTGTTTGTCCAATACATGAGATAAAACGTCTTTCTTGTTGTTTTCCCTTCTCCATGTAGCTGCTTCCAGTATGGTAAACGACAGTACCATGGCCTTTTCAGATTTTCATTGTACCTTTTTGTAGTACCTCCCGGGATCAGTATTTTCCACTTGAAATAACATCCACCCCAATGCCTCATTCTTAGAATTATTTTATTCGCTTCCATGTAATTGGGCTTATTGCCCGTTTGGTATTGCGAATTCAAATAAAAAACAACAACAACAACAACAATTTCACAAGGGGCGAACATATAACAATAGGGCTAACGGTGATGTCGGTAAAGGTGTGCAGTGCAATGCTGGCAAAACAAAGCAGAACTGCAGTCTAGACTGTATAGGCTGTGCAAATTTCCTAGTTCATTACAACAGGGTGATTCTCACTATCTACATGTATTAGCCAATAGTCATTAAATCATCAACCTTCAGTGGCGAGAATTCTATACTCGAAGCAGCTGTCTGTTGGACATGAGTACTAACGGATGAGTCGCTTTGCTGATGGTGTGCTGTGGCAACGTGTCAAGGTCGGCTGGAGAGCGCAGTTCTTGTCTGGTTGTTGATGGAATAATCATTTCAGCAAGACGGCTAAGAAACGTGTGGACATCGCGCAACTGCATTACCGACAAGAACAGGATATTTATTATAAAGATTGTGGAAAGAAATGACTAGTGCTGAATCTCAAAAGAAGCCTCATCAGGATACGGGCCATGAAGTCTTTATAGAAACGCAGTGCATTCTACTTCTATTTACATTGGTAGTGTCGATGGAGGCGGGTGGCCAAAACAGGCGTAGACCCACTGGTATGCTGCACGTGTGCCCCGGAAGGTGGTATCCACAAACTATTAAATGGCCAATCAACATAATAAAAATCAAAAAACCCGCATCTCGTGCTTTGTAGCCGAATTGCCACTTTTGCAAAGCACAGTAACAGATGATGATTTAGTCATAGAAGATCGTTCCAAACTAGGGTTGCCTATGTAAAATGTAGAAATATGATCTTGGGGCAGAGCAAGTGTACGCGTACGCACCAAGGGAAACATGGTCAGGCATTCACTTGTTGAATTTCCAGATCATGGAGAATATCACTGAAGCACGGACGGTTGGCCGCTTCTGGTCTCAAGCAGGCCTCGACCAGATGACGATAGTCATAGGGCATACCCGGTGGAATAGGCAGCTGGTGACCATTCTCTATTGCCTTCTCCACGTCTGTCTCACGCTTCAGATGTCCGTATGGCGTTTGCCTGGTGAAGATCTCCCAAAGGACAACCCCATAGCTGTGAGAATGATGACAAGAGAAAAAAAACATACAGGCGCACAATCAACTACACAAGTACACAATGTAATAATTATAACATAAGGCAGGGTAGTCGTCTGGGTCCGGCCGATCAGGGCATGGCCGGCTAGACGTTATTTTGAAAACGTTGACCTGTGAATGCTGACACTAACAGGAATGCAAAGGCCTTGATCGACAACAAAGGACACTTCGCAAAATGCAGGAAACGAGCACAGTACAATAATTGTGTTTGAGATCTAGAAAGTGTATCGTACATGGTTGTTCAGAACTACACTGTTGTCGAACGGCCTCTTGTACAGGCAAAACTCAACTCAAATCAGAACTACACGGTCGATCAGTGGGAGGGCTCTGTACGGTGGTATACATGTATGTACTACTACTAGTAATCATGGCAATACATAGGGAGTTGATTGTGAACACACACAGCAGTGCAAGAGCAGTGCAGAGCAGCCCAATAACTATTTCAAAGTAAGGCGGCTGGCCCCGGCCATGCCATCGGATTTCATTGGGCGCTTTCGATTACACACAAATCGGTCAATTCTAGAATTAGTTATTTTTGATGCACAGTTCGATTACACAACTTCCGCCGTTAGAATCGATTTTATCCAATTCCGTCAATTCTGAAGAGAGGGCGGAATTTCTCTGGATCTGGCGCCAAAATTGCATGCTGGGTGGGTTAGTAGTGAATAGTACAGTGTTACAGGTCTAGTCATGCATGGCTCAAGTCAAGGAAGAGCCTCCCTGGCCGGTGTGGCACGAAAGCAGGGCTACAACTACATGTAATTGCTACTTTTGTCTTCCCGAAAAGCTAATTGCCGCTGTTGAGTTTTGGCTGGGACTGGGAGCTGATTATTAGACCAAATCATTTTGGGTGGTTCTTTCGCACACGCGTTCAGCTTTATCGAAGCCCAATATTGTTGCCGACAGGGAGCTTTCGCCGGGATGGACCAATACGCCAAGCTGGGTCGACGGCTCGACGCGCGCGTGAGGGTAAAGATCTACGGGATATCTTTTTACGACCAATCTCGTTTGTGATATGCCATGAAAACAAATGCGTTGTGAATTCCAGTCGTTCGTTTGCATGGCCGGAATTCGTACATTTTGGTCGTTCGAGAATTACAAAACCTAGTTCCAGAATTGTGTAAACGTGTAATGGAAAGCGCCCAATGTTGGGTGAGAGTAGAATCGATGTTATTCCTCGTTTTGGGAAATAAATAATACACAGCGTGCCTGTGATGCATGTTTGTAAGTGTGGTAACATTTTCACCAAATTCACACTCACCTGTAGATATCGGCTTTCTCGTTGTAATGCTCGCCACGTACTGACTCCGGTGATTTCCAGCGCAGAGTCCCCACACCGCGAGTCATCACTGATGCCGAATAGCGCTGAAACGTCTCTCCATGGTTTGTGGAGACGTCGGTGAGTAGAGGCGTTGACAGACTGGTCTCCTGGCTTCCTGAAAGTGCAAGCGAGCTCTTGGAATCACGTCTGTCAAGTACTGCTTCGGAACAGGGAGGCTCGATAAGTACATTTTCCCTGGGGCTTTCGCCTACGGACTGCGTGCCCGCCGCCGTGTTTGATGACTGCGTCAGGGCAGTTTGAGCGGCGCTGGTACTGGTCCTGTTCGCTCCGGCCGCCTTCTCCTCATCCAGAATGGCCATAAATCGCGAGTTGCCAAGATCGCCGATTTTCACCACCCACTTGTCGCTGACTAGAAGGTTGGGAGATTTCAGGTCTCGGTGCAGGCGTGGCGGGTTGGATTCGTGCAGGTACGTCATGCCTCGGGCTGTGTCCAGGGCAAATCTCAGATGATCTTGGTGTGTGAACACGTTCCCGCCATCGTGGAGTACATTGTGGAGAGAACCTCGCCGCAAGTACTCCATCACGATAAATGGTCTTTTGCTGGAATTATTTGTGCCAGCTCCCAAGAAGATGACGATGTTGGGGTGACGAATTGAACGCAGGACCTCAGCTTCCTGGACGAACTGGTCTGTCTGCGAGTTATTTCTACCAGTATATTTGGGGAGTACTTTCACAGCTACTAACATGTCGCTGAACTCGGCTAGCCACACTTGCGAGAATGCTCCCCTGGCCAGTTTCTTGGTGAGGTTCAGCGATGACCAGCGTATTCTTGCCCCGATGTTGATCTGGTCTAGCTTCTTCTGATACAGTCGCATACTCTTGTGTTTGTCCTGCAGCTCTCTCTCCTTGAGCTTGAGTTGCTGGTTTCTAGTGTGGTATTTGCGTAGAGCAAGAGCAATGAAGGAGACGAGGAGCAGAATAGCGGATGCAATGACCAAGCTCACCAGTGGTAGTCTACAGTTGTCATACGACACGTAACCAAAGTCGCAATGGCAGCTGGCGGTGAAGTCGGTCACGATGCACACCCCGTGCTGGTGGCAATGCTGGGAACGGCACGGAGATATTGCAACGCAGGCGTTCGATCCTTCTGTCTCTGTCGTTGTGAAATTTGGACACGGTTTGCATCTGTCATGTAGAGTTGAAGAAAAGAAACCATGCGGACAGGGTTGACACGTCTTATCCTCATGCAGCTCGTACCCCATCGGACAGAGCTCGGTCTCAATCGTTAGGTACTTTCCGAAACCGCGGTGGGTGGGCAATCCCGAAAATATATAGAGACGCTGCCCTGTCACAATATGGTGATTGTAGATTTCTATCACATGTCCATGGTAGAAAAAGGGCAACACTCTGGCCTCCGCTTGTAGGTTGGAAGTATTCAAAAGGATAAGGTCTGCAATCTTGCTTTTTTCAATGATGTTGTTGTTGTCAGTCCAACCACCGAACAATAGTATGCCGTTCTTGTTGTACTGAACACTAGCGAAGTCTTTTACCTTACGCAGACAGGGCTTTACGGAGACTTGGTTGATTCGAATTGTACCGTTGTCTAAGTATCGGGAGATATCCAGTGCCAGTATGTAGTCAGTACATGCTGATGTGTCACCGAAAACGAAAAGAGTATTTTTGATCTGTGTTACCCGCGGATCACTAAGACGTGGCATTACTGCGCCGAAGAGATTGGTGGGTTTCAGAATCTTCCACGTTCCTTTACACTGGTCTATACTGTCAAATGTGAGTACCCAGATATCAGAGAGATCTTCTAATGTGTCGGCATCCGTCCCTCCGTAGACCAGAAGATGGGTATCATCGAGTCGTACTGCCACGTGGAGGTATCGTGTCGACGGTTGAACTGTGCCAGCGTTAGTAAATTCCATACAGGTGAAGTTCAGTATATTAATGCACCACATGATTGAGAGGTAATCAACAGGACGACTATTAGAGATGTACCCCGGACCGAACAAGAAAACCACGCCAGCAGTAAGTTGTGTAGCAGTTGATCCCGTACCAACACTCATAGGACGTTCTGTACACTGTGCCATGGTTCTAGTCTCGTACGCATTCGTTGTCGTGTCAAGAATCCAGTAGACGTTCGCATCTAAGGTTCGTTCTTGACTTACCGAGGACTCAAGAATCTCCGGAAGTCGAGCGAAGTAGTTCACGCACCACGAACCGGGCAAGAATAAAGCTCTCTCCTTTCCCAGTATGGTTTGTAAAACAGCACCACTCGATGCACAGCCCAAATCTCCCGGTAGATGGTAGGCTGGCCTGAAGGCATCGTATATCATCTCCTCGACGAAATCATGGCACCCGCAGTCAGTGTTCTCAGCCAAGCTGGGGCAAGTGGACAAGGGTGCTGCAGGCCATACGGTCCACTGCCGCTCTAAGTTCCCAAAGAAAGCACCCACTCCGCCACCAACTGTGTGAGAAATAGAGTTTGACATATATCTATAATGTTTTGTATTAGGTGCCAGCTTGGTTTGATGGGCGAGGATTCGTCGACAGGATATTGTGCTAGATGGAGAGATATTATGATTATTTAGCACACTGCATACCTCAAGCACATGCAGAACGTGTCCACGCGAAAAGTGCAGAAGAATCTTTGATTCGTTGGCAAACAAGACTGCGCGTGGTCTGTCCATGAGCGCGAATTCGTGCCCTCTTACAGAGACTGGAAACAACTGGCGACCATGTCCGTTAAGGCGACATGTGTCCGTGGCATTGTTGTGACGAGACATCCAGGCGCGCTTTTGGACATTGAAGACCCAAAACGTGCAGTAGCTATCCACATCTGGTGGTTTATTCATTCTGGGATAGTGCAAATGATACCCTGGCACTCCACCGTACACAATAATGGTTTCGTTGACGGCAAGTAAGGATGGGAAAAGAAGAGGACGAGGGTGAAAGGGCGAATGAACCTCTTCTAGCTCTCGCCATTGAGTTCCTTCTATATGATCTCCCGTCTTACTTAGAATGTGCATGTATCGCAGGCTGGAGGAAATCGTGCAATATTTGTCCAGTTGTGCAAGTTTGATCAATGTCGGTAGATCTTTAGTGCACTCAAGGCCACCGTAAGAAAACACCCGATAAGTATTGGCGTGCTCTTCGTCATCTCTCAATGTCACAATTGACTGAAGATATCTTGCACTGCCCGCACTCACCTTTGGCGTGTGCACTCTTCGCAGTTGCATATCTCTCCACACGAACATCATGTCGCATTCTGGCCAGGGTCCGAAGTCGTAAAAGATCAGATCTCTTCTGTCAGGTGATGTGGCAAGAGCGGGCGTAATATCCCAATCTCGTCGACACAGCGGGCCAAGCTCCGGGTATTTCAACTCCTCCAAGTGCCTCCATGATCGCAAACCAGGATTAGACACGTCCATTGCAACAAGGGTGTCTGTGCGTTCCATAGATGTGCCATTTCTCTGTCGAGACGCCAGCATCACAATATGCTCTGCTACACGGTAGCGAGTGGACTGTAGAAGAAGAGTGCTGGCTGGCGTGGAACGGACAAAGTTCATTTCAATATTTTTATATCCAAGCAGTCTTGGATACTGGTAAACATCGTGGAATTCAAGTGGTGCTGGGAGCCCGCTAAGGCTGTCGTAAGTCGCTGTGTCGTGGACGGTTACAGCAACACCACCAGTTACCAGAAGAACTGATGCGAACACATCTAAAACCACGACACAGACAGTTCTCCACGCAGAGGAACCCATAATCAAGATGGCAAGAGGGTTGACACGTCCAAGCTCGCCTGTTACTACAATAATGGCCTCCTTATACCCAGAGAGACTTCCTATTAAAGTGGTTTTTGTTTCTCAACACAATTGTACAACCAGTTGTAACGCGGACGTGCGAACTTCTTTTTTTAATTTTATACGCAAGCTGTTAGCAAGTACAGTGCACAGGAAAAATGGAGAAAATCCTGAATCCTGTCTTCTACTCTGCAATGAACGTAGTATCGATACGAGTCACTGCATACAAGACACAACAGCTGCTCATAACTAAGGCCAGCGATACTTACACACAGCGTCATCTAAACCTCCGTTGTGTATTCAAGCAACGCGTATGTACACGCACATGTACATGTGTATCGTCTTCGCATCACGGATAATGATAGCTATAAAGTAACATTGCGCGTGTGGTTTCAACCTTTGTTGTTCTTCCTGACGTGTTGTCAGGAGGCAACCACTTTTGGAGAGATTGTATGCACCATGAGCGCTATGATAGCAACACTTAGCTGGCTAAGGCAGAGTGAGTCCACCTGGACGTCTGTACAGAGACGATAAAAACCTGGAGGCAGGGATCCATGGCCGAATATTACTTGAATATTTGGAGATTTCATTTGGATAAAATTTGCAGCGTCAACGACCTTTGCGTAGTGATGGTGAGTGATCGTGATATTCACTCTACTTTGTACAGTAATATGCTGGACACATGTACATGTACATGTATCCAGCAGTGATCTTGCTGGTAAAACAGGCCGTTACCACGCAAAAAAAGAAGACACACAATAAAAACCGTCAATGCCAGATTCAGGCAGAGTGGTGTACATGAAGGCACACAATTTAAACCTTGGCGAAGTGCGTTGTTACGACAGAATTGGCCCGTACCTGTCCCGTACCTGTCCCGTGCCATCAAAGACGGCTGGCCACAATGCATATTCAAATAGGGCTTTCAAATGCAAGATCATAACGTGAAGCAACTTGGAAGAATTAGTATGTATGCGAAATGTGTCGGGGGATGCATGCAGGGCGATAGTGCGGGTTCGAATCCCAGGTTATGTCTTAAAAAAAAGGAAACATTTATATGAATTTATAACATCCGTATGCTTTGTTTGTCTAGGTCATCAAGGCAAAGAAGCATAGCGTAGGGCCATGAGCTTCCAAGCTCTCTCGTTTCAATAGCACGCTGGTTTTGTGGACAACTAGAGAGGAAAAAACGTACACCGTGATACCTAGTGTTGCGATTGTTCACTCTCTTGGAGCTCGAAGATAGAGACAACCGAGGACGTTCTAGGTGTTCAGATAATTATGTATGGATTTCAGCAATGTGACTAGAGCTGATAACAATCTCATATCAATATCAATATCGTATTTCGCGCCTTTGCTGTTTGCGTTATGCAGAGCTCACTGACTTGTCAGTTTGAGCACTCTGGCAAGGTACGTGCGGGCCTGGTTTAAATCTGGCTTTGGAAACTATCTTTTTCATTGCTATCAGGTTCGGCTTCATTTTCTCTGTGCTGCGCTCATGAGTCCACAAAGGATGTAACAGTTCTGTCCGCAGATTGAGAGAAAGTGGAAATGAGAAACGTGAGACGAAGATGAAAGCGCCGTGCCTGGATATAAGGCGATGACACTGCAAAATAATATTGATTATGATAATGATATGATATTGTTGTGGTATTGATATCAGCTCTAGTTAAATTGCTGAAATAATTCATACATATGTATTTCCTGAGCACCTAAGATCGTTCCCGGCTGTCTCTATCTTCGAGCCCCAAGAGAATGAGCAATCTCAACACTATTTATTACCGGGTACGTGTTTCTTCTCTCTTTTCCCCAAAGCCAGCATGCTATTGAAATAGAAACACTTGCCGGGTGGGAAGGAAGGAAGGAGCTACCACCTCCAAGGGAAAGTGAGATGGTGGAAGTGCCTGTGGGGCATAGCAATACTAGTACAGCAAGCGTCGCCCACCGTACATGTACATTATATGATCCATGGCATCACTGCTGGATACATGTACATGTATGTGCACCAGACCAGCAGATTACTATACAATGCAGACACAAAAGCACACAATGAAAACCTTGGCCACTTCCGTTGTAACAACGGACTTCGCCAAGGTTTTCTTCGTGCCTTCGTGTACGCCGCTCTGCCTGAATCTGGCATTGAAGGTTTTCATTGTGTGCCTTTGTGTACACCGCTCTGCCTGAATCAGGTATTGAAGATTTTCATTGTGTGACTTCGTGTACGCCGCTCTGCCTCAATCAGGTATTGAAGATTTACATTGTGTGCCTCCGTGTACGCCGCTCTGCCTGAATCAGGTATTGAAGGTTTTCATTGTGTGCCTTCGTGTACGCCGCTCTGCCTGAATCAGGCATTGAGAATTTTCATTGTGTGTCTTCGTGTACACCGCTCTGCCTGAATCAGGCATTGAAGGTTTTCATTGTGTGTCTTCGTGTACACCGCTCTGCCTGAATCAGGTATTGAGCACTTTCGCAGAACCTAAGCATACTGCCTCTATACAATGCAGAGGTATCATGACACATACCAGAAACAGGACCAAATAATTCTGTCAATTTATTATTTTCCTGCAGGCTTTATCCACCAAGCGTTA